GTATAAACGCAGCCTAACCATTGGTTCCAGCTTACGAGGCGGGTGGTGTAATGGCGTGCTTAACACGCGCGCGATCTGAGGTCAGATCCCGGATTGGCTTCCACCCAGGCCAACCGAACCTTCTACATTCCAGGGATGGTAAACTGATACCAAGTTCGTCTGCGAGGATAAAAGCACTCATTTTTTTGTCGGATTTCGCCTGCAGGTCATTGTATAATCCCATCAAATTCAATAAGCCACTACGATTCTGAATGGAAGTAGAATGCGTGCCGCATCCCACAAAGGGATTGATTAACGGCGAAGACTTTATCCTTTATCTTTTATTCTTCAGAAATAGCGGTAAATATTCAATAAGCTGTTTGAAATAAGTTGTTTGAAGCAGTATGAATACAAGCAGAACAGAATGAAACAGGGTTCCCTGTAAGGAATGGCACTAGAAGAAATACGATCATAAAGTTCGAAGTCTGCTATCAGTTTTTTTTAGCGAGTGATCACCTGAGAGACAATAGAAAGCCCTTCGATAAATCGTTTTGCTTTTTTTATAGAATTTTAAATAATTCAAATCACTTGCAGTTCCTCTTGGTTTATATGATTCTAAAAATTGATTGAACGGTCCTTATGTTCAGATTCCCAACGTGGAAAACTTGCCACACATCAAGGAACCTTATGAATGGACGGAATTGGATCGTGGGATCATGGGAAATTACGGTACGTCTCTTCCATTTACTCGGTATTTGAGAAACATGGCAACTGATGTTGCGATATAGTTAAAAGTGGGCGTTCAAGATAGAGAGCTTGTGGTTCACACGGGTTTCTCTTAATCCAAGCAGTTCCCAGAGAATTAACTGGAAGTTCCTTTTTCAAGGAAATGTAGCTACTCTTGTCATCAATATGGTGTACAGTCGTTTTCGCTACGGGCGCTGGGGCGTTCCGGGGTGAAGAAGTTGGCAGTGCGCCAGACCGCTCTCTAGTTGTAAAGCTGACTGGCGCCGCCCCACACCCAATCCCTATGAACCCCCGCCCCCCAGTGTACGCAGCGAACACCCACCCACATGAAGTCGCACCGGTTTCTTGAGCTCATTCTGAAGATGTTTTCGGACACGATCAACGAACTCCAAAACCTCGTTGATTCTAGCTGTTTTCACACGCGTCTTTTCTTAAATGACAAAACTGAAACATTTCGAATAGAGATAAATATACATATTTGATGGGTGTTCGCTGCGTACACTGGGGGGGGGGGGTCATAGAGATTGGGGGTGGGGGGGCGCCAGTCAGCTTTACAACTAGAGAACGGTCTGGCGCACTGCCAACCTCTTCACCCCGGAACGCCCCAGCGCCCGCAGCGAAAACGACTGTACACCATATTGATGACAAGAGTAGCTACATTTCCTTGAAAAAGGAACTTCCAGTTAATTCTCTGGGAACTGCTTGGA